ATGATTTTTTTATTTGGTTTTTGTTTTACCAGTCTACTGTCCTTTAGGAAATCATGAATAAAAATGTCTATTTCAGAAATAAAAGTCTTCAGCACCTATCTTTAAGAGAGGAGATTGTCAATCTAAAACAACTGTGCTTATTTGAATCAGTCTTGTACAGAATGAAGTTGTAGATATCAGTGGGCATCACTTGTACAAAGGTCTTCCCTATATTCCGATTTGCTTATTTCAGTTGTCACCCATTTCATTTAGATAACAGGGTTTTAGTGTTAGAGATTTGTGAAACTAACTTTGTTGCTACAAACAGCACAATCTGTAGAAAAGCAAGGGAGGGTGCAAAGAACACAAAGCTGTACCAGGATTGGAGATGAACTCATGAGTGGGATGGATAGTAGTAGATGATTGTAGAAGAAAAAGTGAATTATCTGAGAGAGATAATCATAGCCTTCAGTGTATTGAAGGAAACAATGTAAATGGAAGAAAACCAACAATCTCTACTTCTGAAATGTAGGAAAGGAAGGAAACGTTTAAGATTGAGTTTTAGAATATTTTAGCAGTTTAAAAAGTCTTGCAAGGTACAATGTTGGAAGTGCTATTCAAATTATAATCAAACACAGTTGGTACCCATAGGAATGGTCCCATCAAATCAAACATGAAGTGAATGGTCCTCATAGTCATTTACTATTTCTCATTGAGTGAGTCCACTAGAGTGGGCTTTTTTTTGTCTTTATGCACTATGCACTGCACTGTGCTGCAGGAATCTTCCTGTGCAGTTACACGTGTTCTGTGTGTGTGTGCAGGGTTGAGATTACATTGATTCATGGGCCAAGCTGAACCTACTGAGTCACAGATTTGTTATGCAGTGAAAGAGCATGATATTCCTGAAAATGTGAATAGGGTGTGTTTGGGGCATATTTTTGTTAAATCAGTAAGATTACAGTTAATGCAATAGGAACTCCCTTAAAACCTGCCAGTTAAAAACAGTAAATCAAATCCAGGGGGTACTGTAATATGTGAGTTGAGGATATTTTGTGAGATGTTTTCTCTACCAAGAAGGATGGCAGGGGAGGGATTAGCTTCAGTGTCCCCTGCATTTGCTTTCTTGTGTAATTATGGGAAATGCATTCAGTGTGCAAGGGTATCATTGCTGTCCTGCTGTTTTATCATTTCTTTATGAGATAATGTTGATTTCAGCAATGAAATGCAAATTTAGTTTACAGTGCTCTTTTTTTTCCCCATATAAAGGTTAAAATGTGTATTGTAGATAATAATGTTGGTGGTGCTTTTGAAACAGCCTTTGTCAGCTAATTTCAGCAATACATGGTTTTAAATGCTGTTCAGTGCAACTGCACGAATTTGATGTTGGCCTACATGAATTAGTTTTAACCCAACATGCATGTTGCTACCATTTTGGCTGTAATTTGAACAAGTAATCATAAAACCTTGGTACCATCAAAAAAAATTAAATTTGGATGAGTCAAGAATATTTAATACATGGTGTACCATCAAAAAAAATTAAATTTGGATGTGTCAAGAATATTTAATACATAGTATGCCTTTTGTGCTTTATGGCAAACCAAACATGTGATTATTGAAGTTGAGCCATCTTAACTCTATTATCATAAAAGACTTCTAACACAGGGGGCTAACAGATACTCCTAGGAATGCAGATGTGATGGATTCTGTGCTCGGAGGGTGTTTCTGTTTACTTGTAAACAAATTGTTGGTATTGCTGGCGATAAAAGGGATCAGAATTTTAACAAGTCCTGTTAAAATTAGCCTCAGTGTAGATTATAGACAGCCCTTTTTACTAAATGCTGGAACTCCAAGAGCAATAAAATACATGCAAGAATGGAAATAGCTTTCAGTTGGGACTCCAACAGCAGTAAAATACATGCAAGAATGGAAATAGTTTTCAGCTAGCAAGCAAATTCTAACATAACAGCAAGGCCAGCACTAAAGGAAGTTGTCTTTTTTATTGTTATCTCTTTAATTTATCTCACTTTCCTGTGTAAACTGCTCACTATTGTGCAGAGAGAAGGGGGTGTGTTAACTTTAGTGACATTGTGTTACTCCCATTAAGTAACACTGCACGCAGTTTTTTTCAGCATGACTGTACAGAGGATTTTTTCCCTCCAAACTGCACCAGCAGGCAAATAATGTTTCACAACTGAAAACAAATCCCATTTCTTCTTTGGGTGGTGTGACAATTAATTTGCTGTCAAAGTTAGTAAAAAGATTATATAGAAAAAGGAGCGTGGTTTTAATATATTTAGTATGAAAGAGTAAAAAGGTGTGGAGAGGGTGTTATGAAATGAGATGTTCTGTTGTAGACAATAGCAGAAAATAGCTCTGAATATGCTGAGTTGGAGTAATGAATGAATAATGCCTAAAGTTTATCAAAACTGAAAGAACTCCTGATGTGAAATGAAGCCTCCTAAGAAAATTCTGTTCTGTCGCTGTTTTGCTTTGCTGTTGTCGCATGTCACGCATGAATGAAAATGCTGCATTCTCTGGGGAGCAGTAAAGCTTCTGTGTAGGTTGTTTATTTCCTTAATCCCTCCTTCTTCGTGATTTCCAATGTCAGATATAAAATGGAAAGCCTGTAAATATAGTGATTATCATACTGATTATCACCTGCATCAGGGAACACCCCGGCTGGCCGCTGTAACCCGAGCAGTCTCCACATGTTACAGCCACTTAGATTTTAACCTGACTACTTTATTAGAGATGTGGAGCTCAGTATGAGGTGCCCTAGGGCTGCACAGATGGGTTCTGCTTGTTTCCTGTTCTCACTGTTATTGTGAATAGATACTAAAAGGTTCTCATCGCTTTTATCTGGTTAATTTACTTTGAACTGTCCCTGGCATTCAGAGCCTGCCTCACATTTCTCACCATTTTGCAAACACCAAACTATAGAATCCAAATGTGTGTTTTGAGCTTTATTAGCTTTTGTTACTGGAAGGGCCTTAATTCTTAAAGGGATGTCATTCTGAGAGAGGCTGATTTTTAAGGGGCCGCAGGCACAGTCCTCACTGAAATAAGCTGCTCAGGAATCATTCTGAGGTTCAGTTGATAGGAGAAAAGAAAATTAAGATTGCTGTTGTTCTTTAGCATGTTCAGACACCCTTAGATGAGAGGTCAACTGCAGGAAAATCTATGATTGTATGCGAGCTGCCATTATTCATGTAGCCAGGCAGCAGAGCAGGCTAAAAGATGACGCTCTAACAGGAGAATCTGAGGACGAGATACTTTTTAACAAATGTGCAATCGTTTATCCTTCCTTGTGGAAGGGCCAGGTCTTTCCGAGCACATGTGCTATGCATGGGTGCCCCAGCATAGAAAATTAAGATGAATTCTCTCAAAGCCTCCCACATAAGAAAGCGCTGCTTCACTGCAATAGTTTTTATTTCATGTACTGGTGCCCAGTTTCCTGGCCAAGCAATAGTTTAACACAGATGTTAATGGCCTGCTCTATTGGGATTTTAAAGAAATCCCCTTAGGACAGATCAGTGTAACTTCCAATTTCAATTGCATGACCAAAAACCTGAGGTGAAAGAAGTCATTTGTTTACAATAGATAATTTTTAGTCCATTTTTCTTATTCTCTGCCCCATTATCACTCCCTTATTTCTCTTAATTTTTTTTCTGTGTCCAAGTCCCATTTGAGGCTTTCTTGATTGTGTTGCGGTTCATTGTAAGTGCATCACTTCAGAGTGGAAGCTTGCAGGCTCCTTTTTTCATACGAGCATAGGCTTTGTTAATCACATGCTGGTTTAGGAAAACACTGCATGATATCTTTGAACCCTACACTCCTTCTTGACAGCCAGGCTAGCAAATGTCATTGACTGTGTGATGTACAAGAAGGGATTCAATTGTAAGTAAATTGTCAAAGTGGCTAACCTTGCCCGCACCCAATTGTCAGGACCATGATTCAGTTTTTCTGTCAACATCAGCTAAGGCTAACCCGGTCAGCCTTATGTTTCTGCAGTGAAGCAGCCTGAGGAGTTGTGCTTTTCAGCTTATCACATTTTATTAACCTCAACTTACTGTTGTTATAATCAATTGTACCCACTTCAAATTCTTCTGTTGCCCCCAAATTGACAGATCATATAGGTCCACAAGTATTTTCTGCAGCACTAAAACCTCCTGTAGGTACACTGGTCTAGTTTGGTATGGTAGGTATTTTACTTTAGTTGGATCAACTCACCATTTTGGCTCAAGATTATCCCTCTATTAATCTATCCCTTGGCAAAGATAATCTGGAAGAATGCAAGTTAAAACATAAAAGGTTTGAGGGTTTTCTGCAATATTCCCAATGTTAAGGTAGAAAGTAAGGGGAAAACATTGCTATTGTCTTCCAGCCCCTTGCTTTTATTTCAAAACAGATTTTAATTGCTCCAATTAATATAAATAAGAAATGAGGACATTCTGATACCCTGATGTTTCCTCTGTTCTTTCAGGAAAAGAACATAGTTAAATTGCCTAAAGCAGTGATTAAGACATCAGAGTATTTTAAAATGTTCATCTGATTCCACCACAAGGGCTTGAACACATTTTGTGATCCTGGTTTTTTTAATGCCATGTAGATGACAAATGATTCCTTCTAAATGGCTTGATAACATGTATCCCATGAAGTGCCATACATAAATGGAGATACGGTACAATTTTAGCTAAAAATATGTCTGAAGGATGTTTGTCTGGATTTGAAGTCGTGGTTTACTAGTCCAAGTCCTGTCTCCAGAAGTAACTTTCCTCGCTTGGAAAAAAACATATTGTACCTTCTTTATTTGAACTCGTGAAATGTGTTGACATTGTACTGTTGTTGGGCTTGAGGGAAGGAGGGGGAAGCTTTTGGTGCGACTATCAGAATTGAACAACTGTATATGGCTATATTGAGATAATCGTGTAAAAGGAAAACTGGCTGAATGAGTTTCAAAATGTGTTATTTCTTCATTATCTAGCACTTTATAATTAACTGTTCTTTTTTTATTATTTCAGGAAGCTGCCACTTTTGCTAGAGAGCAAGGCTTTGAGGTGAGTTAACCCACAATTGCACACTAAACAGATCCTAAAGGTTTTTTTTCTTGCTGATAATGAAGTTCTTTTGGACAATGATTGATGTGCTATTATACTCTCCAAGCCTCGCAGCGGTTGCCATGGAAACTTGGCAGTCGTCATGGTTTCTTTGTTCTGCCAGCTCAGTGTTATGACGCACTCTGCTAGGTCTGCACCCAACATCGCCTACAGATGTTATTTATTGAATTTTGAAAAGCCTCTTGGGAAGCCGAGAGGTTGGGCACGGTTTCAAGCTGCCTCTGCAGATATGGGACCTGTCAGTTTGTTCAGTTAAAAAGCTACCTCATTAGCTGCATTACACTCCAGAAGGATTCACTGCTAAAGCAGTGGTGAAGCAAGACTAAATAGTGAAATATAACACCGCTTAAATAACTTAAACCCTGCCATATGCGGATTATCATTATGAAAATGAATTTTAGAAAGGTTGTATATAAAATTGTTAGGTACTGATTAATGTAAACCATGCTTGTACAAACAGCTTCTTTCAGAAAGGGTAGCGTGGAATTTGTGTTTCAAAACATATTCGAGTTGGTGTTTTCCATCTGTGCTCTAAAAATGTCTGATCCTCTACTTTCTTGAAGTAAACACTGTTGATTTTACAGTGATTTTCAGAGCTTTTGATTTCATCTTCTCAAGGTATTTATTTGACTAGTACCTCCCATTGGCTACATTCAGATAGCTTAATCTGGAGAGCCATCAGCTATTGGTCTCTGACGCTGAATTCAAATAGGCAGGTTTTAAATACTATAATTAATGTGACAAGGCTTGTGCTAATTTTGCACATAGTAAGTGATCTTACTGAAATCTAAATTGCAGAACTGAACACACATAAATCCTTTTACATGTTTTTTTTTTTTTTCCGCTGGAATAAGACCCACCTTAATTGATTTGTTTGCAGTGTAAAAGAATAGATAGGAGTTTGACTGCTCAACACCCATTTTGCATAAATAATAGAAGCCGCGCGATTCAAACCACGTCGCTTTAAGAATGTGACACTTCTCTGTGTGGCTGGTTGCAGATAGAAAAAGAGGGAAAGACTGACAGCTTTTGTTCTACAATTTAGATTTCTTTAGAACCATGCACTAGCAGGTACATCAGTGCCATCACTGTTTTAGATATTAAAACTGTGCGCTGTCCCATTTCATTTTATGTTTCCCAAATTCATGTGGCTGCTTTGTAGAAATCAAGACTTTTTATCACTGTCAATTTTCATTTGTATAATCTGTATTGTTAAGCATAAAAATACACTTTGAGTTTATGCTAGGAAATGAATGAATTTCACAGATGCCTCCAAAATATGAAGCATAAGAAATTATTGGTACCCTCTGGTAGCTAGACAATAAAAAGAAAGGAAGTAGTGTATTAAGTCTACCCATTCTATATTTTTATTGCCCCCTTGAGCTAAAGACTTTGAATGTGCATGGTTTAAATTCAGCTCTAGTGACAAACTGCTTTTGCTGGTGTCTGCTAACTACCATCATATTAACCTTTCCATTAGTGCTTGCTTAGAGATTTTAGCACAGTTCCTCCTGAACATCCTAAATCTGCCACGTTTGATTACAGCATATCAGTAAAGTGCACAATGATTATGATCTTATCTCTTATTACCCCCTTGCTCGGCAGCAACTCACATGTCAAGCTCGCTGACAGAGATGTGTAAAACTTGATAAGTGTCCACAGTTTTGTTTTCCCATTTTGCTGTGGAGGCAAAAAAGGAAAAAAAGACAACAAAAACCCACACTGATAATGAAGTATCTTACAAAAAACTCAAAGAGCTTCAATTAGCTTTTCAATTAAAACCAAGAAAATTTCCAGCAACTCTCAAAAGCTTGAAAAATTGATTCCGTCATTTATGTTGGGAATAGAAAATTCGTGAAACATGGCAAAGGAAAGGAAAAGACTTGATTGACCAGGGCAAAAATCAAGAGGGTGTTTATCATAGAAGGGATGAGAAGTTGCAGGTAGCTGCATTTGAATTGTTGTCTGGAAAGACTTTTTTTTTTTTTTTTTTAAAACCAGAACTCTATTAGCATAGAAAATCAGTTGTGGCTAGCTTCTTTTTTGTTTTTTCATTGTTTCTTGTTCTACCTCACAGTAATTTCAACCATTTTGTGTACTAAATGCATCTTTTAGGCATGGATTGAGTTAAGTGTATCTGAAATAGTTTTTGAGAAAAAAATAAGTTACAATCAAGACAACTTCAAGAAAATATGCACCTTTTCTGAAGAAATTAAATCTTGTCATAGACAGGACAAAACAACTCCATGGCACAAATAGAGGTTTTTTTCTTTGTAAGAGAAACTTCATTCAAAGGAATTTTTATTTTTATGCTTCACCTTACCAAGAGTTAGTTTTCCATTGTACTTTGCTGAAATACAAGGTATTTTTGTAAAATCAATCATGATATTTCAAGACCATTATTTCCTTCACTTTATTTCCTGACCAACACTTATCTGTAATAATCAAAAGTAGAACATTACTTCTGATGTAGTCTCTTCCTGGAGAGCATCAGTGTGGAGTTGGGTTTTTGTGTGAATTTCATGTTCTATGACATTTTAAAACTATTGAATAATGTCTGTGAAGACAGTGCTTCATCCTAATTGTATGTTGCAGTCATCTCAGTAATTCGTTGAAGCAGTCACAGTTTTTATCCCAGGGAAGCTCTTGGACTTGGTTCCCTTGAAGTGGTAGAATGGCTGTCAGTGTATTTTAACTGCATGTTTCCAGTATGTTTCAAGTAACACAGGGCTTATGTGGTTTTGTTTTTACAAAATTGTAACTTGCTGTTTCTTCTGTGTAGGAGTTGGGAAAACAAAATCCTACTTTAAACATAAAACTTAGGGTTCAATTCTGTTTGTCGACCCAAGAAATAAAGTGCATTGAGTGGAACAGTAGGTCTCTAAGGGGTCAGTAGCAGCTGCCATGCAAAACAACTTTTTTTTTGTTAGAGGTAGAGATCTCCTAAGTACATATTGGTTGGGGAAGCAAATTAGAGAATTTTGGTACCCTGGACCAGATTTAGGTCTTCAAGTTAACAAGGTACACTGCACAGGTCCACTGTTTTCACTGGATTTGTGCCTGTTTAGGTCAGGACTATGGTAGTCCCAGCCACTGGGTGTCTGTTCAGAGGCAGAAATCAGAAGACATGGTTTGACCAGTAGTTTTAACTATATGCAGCTTTTCACATACCTCTCTCTGATCCTGGGATATCTGATGTGCTTTCTTCACATGCATATATTACACTTGCCTGCTGGAAGGAATGCCACATGCAAGGTTTTTCAGGTGCAGCATCAATAGGCAAATCATGCTTTAGCAAGATTTGTATGCCAGCTTTCTAAAAACAGAGTCAAGTACGTAAGTGGATATGTGTGAGGTGGCCTCCTGTGAATTTGGGACAGGCTATAGAGGCCTTAGGACCACAAACCAGGACAGTCTTATCATTCAGCCATGTCTGTAGACACAGGAGGTGTAAGAAAGTCTCAATAACTGCACAGTTACAAGTCAGTGCAAACCAAATATTGTACATTTTAACTATTTGAAAATATTATATATATTCTGAACAGAAATAGGAGATGACAACATTTCATGATGTTTGCCTGACAATGAAATAAGAGGCATAGTACCTCTGCAGTCTTAAGCCGTAAATATTCACATATCGTAAAATGTCACAGTTGTACCTTCAAAATACAACATAGTGATGAGGTAGAGAGAGGTTGTGCAAAAGTTAAAGCCTCCTCAACACTGACGTTGAAGATCTTCCAGGGTGTAAGCTCTGTTTTATTCTCTTCCTTTGAAATGAATTAATATAGGAAGTGATTTTGACTGAAAATGGTCAAGTTAATTTTCACAGAAGATGCTATTCGGTTACTTTTAAATCAGACACAAGTCTTCAAACCATTCTGTCTTGAAATTTCTGGTTTTTTTAAAAAAATGGCTTTTCCCCCTAAATACCTTCCTTTTTACTGTTACTTGCTCAGTAGATATTTAATTCTTCCTGAAAACACATGTGTTTTTTACTTTTTTTCACTGTCTACTTTATTTCATCCTTTACCATCATTCTTCCCTGATCTTTTTCCTCAGGGTCCTCTTTTCTTCATCTAAGTTAATCTTTATTCTTCCTTAAACTGAAGAAATCATCTCTAGATCATGCCATTTTCTCCTATTAGAACTTTGTCTTTTCCTTTTAGAATCAACATGCATGTAAACACATTGCACAAATACCTTCAAGCTCTTTGATTTCTGTGCCTGCTTTACTCCACTGTAAATGTGCCTAATAAAGTCACTAGTAGCCACTTCCTACTTAGCAAAAACTAAACCCCTTTCTCCTGTTTCCTTTGATCTTCATGATGCTTTATTGCAGTTCCTGGTTTGTGGATCTCTTAATTATCAAGGCCTGAAATAGTTCAGAATTTGGGTTAACCTTCAGGATCCTACCTGTTACCAAGCTGGAGGGCTCTATCCATCCATCCCCTATTCAACAGCTTGTGCCACCAGCTGATACCTGCTGTGCATAAACCTCTTCAAAAGACATTTTGATGCAGAAGAGCAGCAATTTCATTTTTTTCCTCTAGTACCTTTAAGGGACTCATTGCCTTTTGAGACATAGGGATAAGATGGCCTGTGTTCACTGTCCTCAGTCCATGCAGAGGGGTTCATGGTTCTCATCTTCTCTGGTGGAAGACTTTGCATTCTAAAAGCTACAGTAACAGTCTAAGCAGGAGGAAGGAAGAAATAACATGAGAGTGTAGTATATGGAAATGAAAAGTATGAGAGAATTTTATAAAGAGGTGAAGACAACAATAAGTAAGAGGAAACTGTTTTCATGTTTGCCAAATGTGTAAAAGTCAATGGGTTCTCTGACTAACAGAGTTGGGGAAGAAATTAGAGGGAGACTAAGAGTGCTGCAGAAGAGCTAGGTAATCTTCACATAAATGTGTGCAGGTATATATATAGCCCAGGCATGTTCTCTCTCTGTAGAAAAGGTGAAGTGAAAGAAGCTGGTAACCAGGACTGAGTGGTGTGCAGATTATAGTTCCTGAAGCATTTAACTGACTTTCTGGTGAAAAATAATCAATCTCTTGTCAAAATGGCACATACTGTACCTGGGTTTCAGAGTAACACTATATGCTGATTTTGGAAGATACAGATCAATTTAATAATAATATAAATTGATTGTAACAACTTTGGTAAATTATCTGAAGCCCTTCTGGACAGCTTTATAAATGAACTCCATTCGATATGTAATAGTGTTAAAAATCAGTTGGAATTCATAACAAACAGTACACAGAACAGTGCAGAAAGTATTATTATGTTTTCATATATTCAACACTAGGCTCACACCATGTTTCACTACAGTTCTTGGTATGCAAGAGCAAACTGGGAAAAACATATGGTGTCATTTAACATGGATATGAATAAAGTGGGACATAGTAAGTAGCACAGACAGTAATTCCAGTCTTAGTTTTCCTAATATTAAAAAAATAAAAGAAGGGGAAGATCTATCAATTATGGCAAGAAATTGATTACAATACACCAAAGTTAATTTGTAGAATTTACTGACTTGAGATAAATCTGAGAACAAAATCTTCCCATATAGCATTATAAAAAGGGTTTGATGCTAAGACAAATAACAGGAATACCTATATTTAGATAAGATTGAAAATTAAGTCATTTAGAAATTGAAATCATTGTGTTTCAGATCAGAGGGCGACTGTGAGAATAGAAATTATAATATTCTAATGACAAGTTGAGTTTCCTGCAACAATTTTAACATTCCATTGTTGCTATCAAAGACCCTGAGTGGATGAGAGGTTTGGTTCAGTATGCCAGTTTCTTCCTTCCTAGCTACATGCACAGTGAAGTACAAAGTCCCTTTAAAGCAAAGATTCCTGAAACTCTTGAAGCTTAGAACTTAATTCTGAAAATTGATGATGGTCTGTGCCCCACTGAATATCCCTTTCACCCTTTTCTTCCCTGCATCTCAACTATGCAGTCAGCTAGTGGCCACCTGGGCTGCACACCCTCTCTGGTGCTGCAGATTAGTTTACTTGCTGAGACCAGTT